TTTTTAAAAATTTTTCTTAAAAAAAAAATCAAAGTCACAACTTGCATCCTCTCCCCTCGCTAGCCTCCAGAGATGTTAATAACCAAACACAAGGCAATATGGATTCATTTCAAGGCTGTTACTGCCCTTTACAGTAAAAGAAGCCAGGGGGTGGGCAAAGCTTGAGGAGGGGGGAAAAAAAAAGCTCAAAGAGATAAATGAACGTTCTGTTACTGGAGAGCTGTCAACAACAAACTTGTGTCCGAGACAGCGTTGGAGGGGGCGTAGATATTAAAGGAGACAGGGGAATAAAGGTGCTAAGCCAAAAGGAAAAGCCAACCGAGAAATGGGCAAGATTACAAATAAAGTTATTTGCCTTCTGTGCCCAGAAGGGTGAAATCCAGGTGAAGCACACCAGCAACAGGCAGCACCCTAGAGGCCAAATACGCTAGTGTGGAGAACGACACAGGCAAAGAAGGGCTGAAAGGAAGAGCCTGCCACTTAGCCAAATGCCCTGCACACACCAGATACCTTCCTGGCATGTGGCTCGGCCTTCTAGGCCTTGGGGCTCCCCACCTCAGACTGAAGTCCCAACCGGAGGCAAGCATTTGGGAGTTCTCCTGTCCGCTGACCCTCGGTCCTGGAGGGCCCCAGCACCCCCACCTCTCCAAGCCCTGTGGCCTGGCTCAGTCCCTCCCTGTCCAGGCTGTCCTGGACGGCGTTCCTGCCATCCTGCGTCCGGTCTGTGTGCCCCTGCTGGGTGGAGGTCCTCTGAGAGCACGGGCTGTGGCCCTTCACCAACACCTCTCTGGAGCTGAGTGCAGTGCCTGGTATAGAGCAGGCACGGAGAGTGTGCGCTGAAGGAATATTTTTACATTTAAAGAACAATTAGTCTCTCCCTGACCTTGCCGCCACAGGCTTGTGTTTCGGTAACAGATGTCCACTACATCATTCCACATACTCTTTTCCTGAACCTCATGACTCCAATCACAAGTGAGCTACATTTGATATTTTTGACTTGCAAATACTATAACCCTAATACCTAAGCTAGCACCTAATGCATACTGAGTTTCTTAAAAGAAACTGGTTGCTGTTGCAATGATTACAGCAGTCATTGTACGAACATTTTGACAACAGAATCAAAGAATTCTTACCACCAATGCGATAAAAATTTATTTTTACAGAGTCTTCCTTATCTAGCTTATATTGGTCTGCACAGCGTAGCCCATGTATTCAAACTGTCTTTATAAAGCCACATTCCCCCGGCACGCTGAAGCATGAAAGTCAAATCAGTGATACAGCCCAGCAAGTGGATCCTTTTAATTTGCTGACTATATTAAAAAGATAACAATCACTTTGGCAAAAACAAGGATGTATGTAGTAAGTCTATGTGGAGACACAAATACAAAGGTAAGTGGAGATATACACAGTTGAGCAACACAGGTTTGAACTGTGCAGGTCCACTTACATGCAATTTTTTTTGATAAATACAGTAGAGTACTGTAAATATATTTTTTTCTTCCTCCTGATCTTTGCAATAATGTTTTCTTTTCTCCAGCTTACTCTGTTCTAAGAATACAGCATATGATACATATAACACACAAAATATGTGTCAACCGACTTTATGTTATTGGTAGGGCTTCCAGTCAACATAGGCTATTAGTAGTTAAGTATTTGGAGAGTCAAAAGTTACACATGGGTTTTCAACTGTGCAGGGGTCAGTGCCCCAAACGACCCACACTGTTCAAGAGTGAACTGGTATATACGTGTATTTGTGTATAGGTATGTAGACTATACATATCTCCAGTTGCCTTTGCATATTTAGCTATGTTGTGTGTGTGGTCTGTCTTTTTTTAAAAAAATCATGGGGGAAATAAGCATTTTCCCAAACTGTCCCTCAGCATTCCTCTCTCCTTAAAAATCTCTCATGTTTTTCTCAGTCTGTCGCTTTTTAACTAGGGAAATATGCAATCTCTATTCGTTTGGTTTCTTTAGTGTAGCAAACACCCTTGTTTATGCTCAGAACATTTATAGTCTCCATTAAGAAAACAACGATCTAACAGACTTCTTGCCTGATAGTGATGAGTAATTTATCAGAGATTAAAGTACAATTAACCTGCATTCCAAGTTGCTCTTCATTTTCCTCTGCTACAGTCTAGGACAGCAGGGAATTCCAACTCCTGAAAACAAACGCTTACACTACTTACTGTTGATATGAACACCAAGCTCACTACCTCATAAACAAGAACTCCTCACTGTTACCTCTTCTTTGAACTTAAGTCAAAATTATAAAATGATATGGTGGTCTTACGAGATCCTGGGTTGGGTTTACCTGTATTTATGAAACTATTGCTTCTTCTACACGGGAAGAGCCTAGCACACAATGAATGAATGAATGGGTGAATGACAAATCAAGAGACCAAGTTGACTTAAGTCATTAGGAGGCAAAGTGGACATTTTTGTAAAATGGAACAATAATTCAGTTATTACAGGTAAAAACATCACATACACTATTGTGTTATAAAAATAAGCATAATAATAGCTACTTTATTGAGTTGTGAGACATGTGTTAATAGATAATAAACAGTAATGGTATTTGAGCAACAAGTGATAGTATTAAGTAAATAACATTTGGTTAAAGAACCAGTGAGCCACACTGAAACCACCAAAACAGAAATGGGAAGAAAAATAACTGAGGCCCAAAGTCGGCAAAATGAGTCCTGTCTGAGGTGTCACTCCTTCATACTCTCTCACTAAACTAGAGCCCAGGTGACACTGCCACTAATCATGTTCCTCCTCCTTCCAGGACTTGAAACAAATTGTCACATGCAGAAACAGTTGCTTCTAGAAATATGCAATGTGAAGAAAATAAATCACATTTCTCTTTACGCTTATTAAAGGCCTACCAAAAAATCTTGCTCAAAACAGCAAAAAATTATCTCTTGTCATCACCACTGATACCTAACAAATTTGTTGGTCTGAGTGTTGTAAAGTGAACAGATGCAGAGAGCTGGGAAGCCCCTCAGCTCATCCCTTGTTCTGTCCTAGGACCTATGGTAGCTCCCCACAGTCTAGCCAATCACATCATTTCCCAACTACAGCCTACTGTCTTGGGCACACCTGCATTACGGCACTCTATTCCCACCACACCAGGAGCCTCCACTCAGCTTGGGCCTCTCCTTGACCCCTCTTTCTGAGCTTCTGCCCAGACATCCCTCCTTCCTTCTCTCTCTTTCCAGGTCATCGTAATTTACCTCAGCACTTCCACGGAAGCTTTTTTTCCCATTTGACTTTCATGGCCCACTTCAACTGTGAGCTCAAATTTACTGCAAGTGCACTCAATTCCAGTATTTTTAATTGCAAGCGTTTGTGCACAAGAAGCGTCTCACAGATGGGACATGATAGGTACTCCGCAAACTTGCTGTTAAGGTATAAGACATATTGGTATATATAAGGTATAAGGTATACTGATGCTCAATAAAACTCTTCTTTTATCTACCAATGACAGGGAAATGCTTAACTGAGGTAAATTACCCCACGGAATGAATCCAAAGAATAGTTTTGTATTAATTACCAACTTACTTAAGGCAAGAATGTTTTCTGGTCTTAATTATTTGGACTATTATTTTAATTGTCACTTCTCAATTAAAGACTCCACCATATGCTTGCAAAACACTGAGAGCTGAATCTTCACAAACAAGGCAAACTTAACAAAATATTCTCCAAGGTTAGTTTTCCAACAGCATTCTGAAAGGGATCAGGGACGTAATTACACATATAACTCTCAGGCTTCCAAATTTTGTGTTAGGTAGCTTTCACTAGGAATGCTCTAGATAGTCTGGTTTGAAATATCTACATAATTACCTCAATCCTTCCTTCCCATCCCATTGTAAGAGATATCCAAAGCAGTATTTAGGGGTTAAGATGTTTCCAAATAGCAAGACTGTCACTTTCCAGAAAAAGAATTAAAAAAACCACCACCCACAACAAGAACCCCCCCAAAAAACCAAAAAAACCCGTATCACCAAAAGAATGTAAAATGTTTCCGTCTTGAGGGGCGAGGGGGATCTATTTTAAATTTACAACTGCTTTCAAAAAAAAGGCTTCAAGAACCCCCAAATGGAGAAATGTTGAATAAAAGACTGGCAGAACCCCTTGGAGAGCTCCTGTGTGGCCCCTCCCTCCAAACCCGAGTTCTTAAAACACATTTGTTCTTTCGGCCTGCAAAACGCAGCCTGGCTCCGAAATCATTCCATTTAAAAAGCCCCCACCCTCGAGGAAACATTAATCTACTTTGCAAACATGCGTTCCAGTCTATGCTTTACTGTTTTTTATTTCAACTCCTTTCCTCCCCACCCCCACTTTTTTTTTTTTTTTTGTACCTTGAGACAAATGTTTTTTTCCCCCAGAGTTGAAAGCTGTCCAAAAACAGGACCACACACGCCGCTGCCTCCGCAGGCCCGCGCTGCGCCCGCCCCCGCCCTCCCCCGCGCGGCGGCTGCGGCCGCCGGGGGCGCGCACACTCCCTCCAGCCGGAGGGGTGGCCTCTCTGTGCCCCCCCCTTCTTTCTCTTTGGACGTGGTGGGTGGGGGTGGGGGAGGGAAGGACGCCGAGGACGAGAGCCAGGAGCCGAGAGGCCTTCCTCCGGCCGCGTTGCGGGCGCGGCGGCAGCGAGCGGCGGTGGCCGCAGGCCCCGGGGGCCCCCGGCCGCGCGGAGTGGTCCGTCCCGCGGAGGGGCCCCCGCGCCCCCGCCTGCCCGCCCTCGCCACTCTCTCCCACAACACCTAGCAAAGCGCAGCGCCCCGAGTAGATTACAGCGCGGCCTTTGTCGGGCGGGCCTGGCTCCCGGCCAGGCGCCCAAACAATAAACAATTCCCCCTGGTGCGGGCAGGGGGTTCTCGCTCGCCACAGAAAGGCCCTAGGTGTATGCTGGCAAATATCTTTATCAGTTGGAAGGAGGCAGGGAAAGGGGCCCGGGCTGGGGGACGAGAGGGCGCCGCGGCGGGCGCTGGGTCTCTTACCTTCCACCCACAGCTCCTCCACATTGGTCTCGAGATTAGCTGCCTTTAATCCCACAGCGAAGGCCCCAAATATGAGGAGGCCCACAACCAAGAACTTGCCGCAGTTTTTTTGAATGTAACAACCCAGTTTAAATAAGAGTCTCTGAAACTTCGCTCTCAGCCACAGCGGCGCTTTCCGGCCAGTAGCTTTCCCCTGAGGATGAAGCAGAAGGGAGGAGTGAGCGCTGGGGAGTCGTGGCCCGCGCGCCCACGCCCGCTTGCGCGCACCCGCCCGCGGATCCCGCGACAGCCGTGGGGAGGGGGGTACCCTCGGGCCTGGATCCCAGGCCGGCCCCGGGTAATGCGAGCGGCGTGGGCCTGGGCATAAATCAACGTCGGGATGCAGCGTGGGAGCTGCACCTTGGCGACAGCAGGGGCGCCCCCACGCACGACCCGCGCAGCACCCCCGAAGGTGTCTTGGGGGCGCTGGGGAGAAGGGCTGCAAGAACAGAGGGAAGGGGAAGCCGAGGCAGAGAGGAGAGAAATCGCTCAACACAGGCAATATTCACACCGGAGCTGGGAAGGGAGGGGCTGCGCAATCTCTGCGTTGGAGCCCACCATTTAAGAACCAGCAAACCATGGGTCGATTCCCCGCAAGTCAAGCGCCATCCTTTACCCCTCTCCGGATGCCCCGGCAAGGATGGGGGCAGGGGAACGAACGCGCTCTGGGAACAATGTATTGCGGGCTCCCCGATCCTGACCCCCGCCCGGCGTGGTAGTAAGTGGGGATCCACGTGGTGAGCGCGGCCGCCGGAGCTCACTCGCGACGCATTTCCAAAGCGTTGGGAGACGCTGTGTGAGCTGAATTAGGAAGTGGGGCAGCCATCTGCAACTTACGACAATATTTGTGATCGGAAGAGGGCAGCCACATGGATCTTTCCCTCCTCTCCCTTCCCATCTGGTTAAACGTAAAAAGTAGCCAAGTGCACAGGGGAAGGGCCCAGGCCGGCGCAGGCGGGGGTCCTGGCTGGGCTGTGGCTGCTCCCGGCGGCGGCGTTTCCCCGGCGCTGGCCGCTGCCCCGGCGGGCCCCCGTCTGGGTGCTCGCCTTCCCCGGATTCCACACATTTCAGCGAGCCTCGTAAACACAATGAACCCGGCCGCTTGGCAGACCAGCACCGCGGATTTAAGGTGGCAATTTGTTTACAACTTTCCCTTTCCCCCCAGGCTCTAAGAAGAAGTGGCTCAAAAACTAAAAAGGAAGAGGGGAGATGCCCTCTTCCAAGGATAATTTTTAAGGGGGCAGAGATTTCATGCTCCACAAAAGCAAAACCGGCTGCCAAAAAAGGAAACCACCTTTATTTCGGCTCCCTCCCCCCCTTCCTCTCTCCGCCTCCCTCCACTCCGCCTCCCCCTCCAAGATGTTAAGAAATGTGGCAGCATTACAGGGGTTTAGGTTGCAAATAGGGGCAGGGGCGCAGGAGCAGGGGTCTCCGGGGGCACTGGGCATTGCCGCGCTGCGGCCGCCCTCGAGGTGGTCCACTGTGGACCGCTTTCCAGTGCTCCGGAAAAGGCATGCCGGGGAGGGCGCGTGCACACACACACACACACACACACACACACACACCACACACCCTCCACCCCCTGCGGACCTCAGACAGCCCTTTCCTCCTAGGACCGGAGGGAGGGTTTGAATTTTTCAATCCCCACTTGTCTGCTTCTTTTCCTGGAGAGGTGTGTGTGAGTGCTTGCGTGCGTGCGTGCGTGTGTGTGTGTGTGTGTGTGTGTGGCGGGGGCGATCCCAAAGAGGAAGAGGAGGGAAGAGTGGGAGGAGAGGAGAGAGTCTGAAATGCACCTTGGAAATCTGCTCCAGAGCGAAGGCGGCGTCGCAGTAGCTGGGCCGGTGCAGATAGTCCCGGTCCAGCGCGGCGCTGCGGCGCAGCCCCCCGGTCCGTCTGCGCCTCCCGCCGCCGGCCGGCCGGCCCGGGGCCCCGCTGCAGCTGCCGCCGCCGCCGCCGCGGTCCTGGGGCTCGGCGACGTTACCAGCCGAGGCCATGTTGTTGCCGCCGCCGCCGCCGCCGCCGCCGCCGCCGCCGCGGGAACCGAGGCTTCCCGGGCGGCCCGGCGCGCTGCTGCCGCCGCTGCGGGCTCCCGGCGCGCCCGGGCGCTCGGCTGGCGAGGACGCTGCTGGCCGCCGGCTGCTCGGGCTGGGGCTCCGGTTGACAGACCTGCTGCTGTCGCTGCTGCTGCCGCTGCTGCTGCTCACACGGCGGGTGCTGCTGCCGCTGCGGCCGCAGCCGCTGCCGGGGAGTCAGACCCTGCGCCTTCCATTGCCACATTGCGCGGGGGTCCCGAGGTCTCTGCGGCCGCCGCTGCCCACATCCAGTTCTCGGGAGGGCGAGAGCCGGCGCGCGGAGCCAGCCTGTCCTTCGGGAGCTCGCACGGCGCTCCTCGAGATCCCCAACTCCCCCTACCCGCCCCCCGCCCCGCGCCGCGACCCCTTCACTGCAGAAAGCGCCAGCAAATCCCCGCCGCTCCCGCCGGCCTCGCCGGCTCCCTCGGCGCCTCCCGGGTCGCTCGAGCGGCCGCGGAGGGTAAGCGCAGAGCCACCGCCGCGGGGTCCGTGCGTGCCCAGTGGGTCTCAGCGCTGCCGGGCCGGGGCAGCCGCCGCCGCCGCCGCTGCTCTCGCGGCGGCTGCTGCTGGCGGTGGCGGCTCCTGAAGCTGCTGCTCGGGCTTCTTGGGCTCTGGCTGCTGGGTTCGCGGTGGCTGTTCGGTCCCGGACTCTGCTTTCTTGTGCTCCTCGCCGACCCGCTGGACCATTCTGCCCCAGTGCAGCGCGCCTCACTCGCTCCCGGGACCTGGGGACTCCGCTCTGTGTGTGTGCAGCGGGCAGCGGCCGCAGCAGCTCCTTGATTCAATAGATGAGATGGAAGAAGAAAAAAAAGAACTCTCTCCATTTGGAGAAAGAGGAGGAGGAGGGGAGGGGGTGGAGGGGGAGAGACCGAGCGAAAGAGAAAAAGGCTGGAGCTCCCGCCCCCGGGGCTGTCAGATGGCTTGGGTTTCTGCGACGCGATTGGCTCGCGGAGGGCAGAAATTACTCAGCAAACATGACTATTATTAGCTGCTTAGCAACAGCTCACCAAAGTAGAGAGACCACCCAGGTAGGCAACCCCAGTGTGTGCATCCCCGGCTTCGGGGGGAGCCTCCGAGAGCGCCAACCTTCTCGCATGCAATACTTCCATTAAGGAATGCTTCCCCCCTCCCTTTTCTTTCTTATTCCTTTTCTTTTCAACAGTGTCTTCTTTTTGTAAGACGCCTTTTGCGCGCGCACACACACTTACACACACACATACACCCACGAGCATTTGCCTCGCGATAGACACGGGGGGAAATGTAATATTTTTGTAAGCGCTTAAACAATTTCTGAAATTCCTCAAAGAGAAAACCCTTTCAGAGGCACCTTGGCCTCAAGCTGCAGCAAATACTGGGAGGTCCGGCTTGAATTCCCAGGCCTGCACCAATAATGACAGGGTGGTGGATAGTGCGCCAGTGTGTGCCAGATTTTTTTTTTTTCTCCTCTCTTTTCTTTTCTAACTAAAGAGAAGACTTAGGCTCTCGCAGGGAACAACGCCTCGCATTAAGATAAACAAAATGGAAAGTTAAAGAGGAAAGTAAGGACGTTGGGAAAAGCCACCCTTTCTTAAAATCCTCCCCCCCACCCCACCCCAAAACCCCCGGCAGCACAGTCCCGGTTTGAAGGAGTCAGTGTTTTAAAAACGTGGAATCCAGACACCGAAGCAATCTTGTGGAGGCAGAGGCGTTTTTATTTGAATCTTTAATATGACATATGTAAAAAAGAAACAACAGAATCCTTTTAACAACCAGGAGCAACGGAATTGTTTTCACTGAGAAAGAGAAAAAAAGTTTTCTTGACTATTTGGGGTTCATTTGGACTCCCCCCTTTTACCACTCACAAGTCGTTGTTTAAATCATTTAAAGTCCGTTTAAAACGTTTTATTTTTTTTTCAAAAACTGGTACGCATCCTGTTATATTTAATAATAGCGTGACGTTGGGGAGAATAAAGGCTTTGATGTTGGATTCATTCGAAACAAATTGTGCGCTGATTGCGAGGACTTGTCAGTACACTGCGGCCAGTGTCACCGAGACAACCCGGGGATTCGCTTCCCGTTGGGGAAGAAAACACGCGACCCTCTGAAGTGGATCCTGGGGCCAGAGACATCTTAAACTACCTACATAGTTCCGATTTTTACTTAAATATATAATTTTTGAAGAGCGTAGTTTGTTTTTCTTGTTTGCAAGTTATTAAATCCTCCCTGAGATAGGGACCAGACCCACAAACTCTTCGATTCTGCTTCATTTTATTATTTTTCCCTTTCTTTTTTAAAAACGTGGTTGAACTGCAGAGGGGGACGCGCGGCAGCTACAAGCCAACTGCAGCCGTGAAATGGGGCAGTGTGGCTTTAAGATGCACACGGTGTGTGTTCATTGAAAAAAAAGAAGAAAGAAAGGAAGGGAAAGAAAGAAACCCAGATGGAGGGAAAGGGGGAGGAGCGGGGAGAAGGCGGAGCCCACGCGACCACGTGACCCAGGGCCGGGCCCGGGCGGCGCGCGCTGGGCGGCCGGGAGGCCTGCACGCGCGCGCGTGCGTCCGCCTGCGCGCGCACCCGAGCTCCGGGACTCCCCGAGCGGCCCAGGCGGAGCAGGTAGGGAAGTCTGTGCGCTTGGCTCGCGCCGGGCGGACTCCACGTCTCCAGCTCGGCCTCCCGGGAGCCCAGAAGAGGCTCGCGCCCCGCCGGCGCGGACAGACGTGCCGGACGCGCCGTAGTACATTCCTGAAGGCGGTCCGGCCCCCTTACGTTGCCCAATGTCCGCGCGGCCTCCCGCGGCCGGCCAATGGCCGAGCGCACGGGTCTCTTCCCATTCAGCGGCTGGGTGTCCGCGGCCCCGGCCCGAAGGGGACTGCGGCGGGGCGCGCAGGCCACCGGGGCAGCCCACGCGGCTCCCGCGGGGGGTTTGTCGCCAGCCCTCCCCGCCCTCTTCCTGATCCGCTTTGGCGGTTTCTCCCTCCCTCCTTCTTTCCATCTCCCCTTTCCTTTCTTCTTCCTCTTTCACCCCTTTCTCCTCTCTATCCAGCCTCACCACATTCCTTCTAGCTTTTTCTCCTTCCTGGTTTCAGTGGGAGGCCCTGTCTCCTGAATTCCAAACCGGCGGAACGTATGCGGTACCCCGGGCGGGGTAGGGTGTCCCGCAGAATAGAGACAAAGACAGCAGAAGTGTCTGAGGGTGTTTACGAGATCAAGAGGAGGACCGGAGTACCCGGCCAGCGCGGAAATTCAAAACTCAAAACTCCGAAGGAGCACGTGATTTTGTGCGCCGCTCTGGGAGGGCTGCTAAAATCCAGAAGGGAAGGCAAGCACCGTGCGATTAAAATGACACATTAATAAATAATATCGCAGGAGGAATGGGCTCGACACATAGCAAGTTTAATCTTGAAGCGAAATCCTGATTTTTATTTGATAAAGAACATAAAGTAGGAAAGGAGATTTATTCTAACTTTCTTTACTGAGTGGTTCTGCAGACGTTTCAAGTCAAACTATTAAGTGCTTGCCGCTGGAAATTATTTTTTAGAGTTGGGGGTTGTACCCCCTAGTTTTACATGTCAGTCTGTTTATATTTGAATCGTGCTGTACAGCAAGGTAATCATGTCATAGGTTGCTTCGTTTGTCTCTTCAAATTCCTTTACAGCGTTTTAGACCAAAACATTAGTTGTGCCTCCCAGTCTTTTATTTACAGCAATTTAAGTTTAGCTGCTTGGATTATGGAATTCTAAAATGAAATTATGGGCTGTGTACACATCATGATTCCTTATTACTCTCTGCACGCAGCTGCATATCCTCTCGTGCTGACTGCTGCTACATGTGCACCATTTCAATGGCAAAGCCTCTTCCACTCAGGCTCATTTCCCTCAGTTGGACTTAATTCCTAAACGTTTTGAACATTGATCTCCCGGGTTCTCAGCGCCCTCAGCCTCCTCACCCGCTGTTTGATAGGTTAACTTTTCAGCATCTCAGACAATAGTCCCCGCCTGTAAATTCTACCCATCGGTTCCAGGACGCAGTCTCCAGCCTGGGCTCTAACAAGCGCTATCTTAATCTCCCCACCCCCACCCGCCGCTTCCCCTGTGGTCTGCTTTTTTCCTACACAGAGATGAATTACTTTGAGGATCTAATTGGCCTTGTTTCTGTAACGTTTTAAGAAAGGGAAGAGGAGCCAGTGTAAAAGCCTGCTCGACTTGGGTGGTCAGGGCTGAGGCTGCCCCCAATTTGCCTCATTGCTGATGCATGCGAGTGCGACATTCCCAGCGATAATGTTGTTCCTAATCAATCTGCCCTTATTTACATTTGTAAGCGTTGTCGGCTTTAATATGCATGCCCTGTGCAGGGGACCGCTGCGCCACACCGGGTTTGTTAACTTCAACTAACCCTAAGAATTCTCCAGACCTGAGATGAGGCTGGCTGGAGGAGCCAGGCCTGTGAAGGTGTCTGCTGGGAAGACAGTCCCTTTAATGGCCTCTCTGCAGTGTGGCTCCCCTCCTGAGAGATACCAAATAAGTGAGAGCTTGGGGCCTTTTCAACCAGCAGGAGTTGCTGACCCTCTTTGGGGCAACCGTTGAGTGTTCTCTTTCCCCTTTCCAAGTAAAGGGGAATGCATCATCTCAGTGCATCACTTGTCATTTAGGTCTTCCCACCATGATCCAAGACATCTTCGGACTCTGTCGTTTTCAAACAGATTTCTTTAAACTTTTAAACTATGAATATGAAAAATATTTCCCCTTCTCTGCTCCAATACTTAAAATATCTGTGGCCACACCACACACATCTCAAAAATGACATCCGATTATCCAAGTGATAACACTGAAATGAAACATCTGCCCTTTGTATTTGGACATTCCAATGATAAGCAATTGTGGGAGCTGGACTTGGTTGAGTAATGAGAAACCAGAGTGAGATTTAACTTTTCACTGGTTTCTCAGATCCAACGAAATGGGTCTTTAAAATCTAGTGTAATTTAGCAAATTTTTGCAAAGTAGAAATGAATAAAGGGGTAAATGTATTCTACTAAGTTGACCTTTGGGCCTTGTTATAATTTTGCCTGAGTTTAATGCTTGCGTTCCACAAACGCAAAGAATTGCGAATGT